AAGACTCCTGTCTACAAGGTGCACTGCAGAAATTCACCAAGACTCCTTGGCCAGCACCTTGCAAATGCACAACCACTTCCATCTAGAAGGACAAGGGCAGCAGATACAATGGGAATGCCACCACCCGCAAATTCCCCTCCAAGCCATTCACCGCCCTGACTTGGAAATTTATCACTGTTTCTTCAGTGTCACTGCATCAATATCCTGGATTTCACTCCCTAACATCATTGTGGGTCTACCTACAGCACATAAACTGCAACAGTTCAAGAAGGCAGCTCACCTTCTCAAGGCAGCCAGGGGGATGGGCAATATCTGCTCACTGGATAGTGATATCCACATCCCATCAATAATCAGAAAAGGAATTGTGTGGTCTGTTGTGGTTTCCTCTTGCCAAAGAGTGACTAAGAGTAATTGTAACATATCTTGATACCAGCAGGGGAAGCTCATGGGAACATTGATAACAATATCGCTGTTCAAATCTTTAATATCCACAATTTATAAATAATTCACCTCTCACTTGAAGTTAAGGGGTAGCTGGGGATAGGTGTTCAGAACTATGAATAGATAAGTTGGTGACAACTGATTGTACCAGTGCAGGAGGTGGATTGGAAGGAGGTATACAATTGGAAAATAATTGCAAAAATAGTTTTGCAAACAAAAAAACAATGGCTGGACATTGATCTTCACAGAAGGTGCTGCGAATGTTAAGTTCTAACTTTGTGAGATCAGTCTGTGAGCTTCCACATGTACCCGACAACACCCAGTCCTATCTCACACTCACACTCTCCTTCCCGAGGTTAGTCCTGACAATCTTTGCATTCTGTTTGAGCATTAATTGACCTTCCAACACCATATTCTGTTTATCAAGGCAACCTATTTCCACCTCCCTAACACCTCCCTTCTCCAATCCTGCCTCCGCTCATTTGCTGCTGAAACTCTCACATCTGTGCCTTTGTTACTTCCAAGTTTCACCATCCCAAAGATCTCCTGGCTGAGGGGTGACCTTATAGAGGTTTGTAAAACCATGAAAGGCGTGGATAGGGTGAACAGTCAAAGGCTTTTCCTGTGGATATGGGACTCCAAAACTAGAGGGCATAGGTTTAAGGTGAGAAGGGGAAAAGATTTAAAAGGGACCTGACGAGCAATGTATTCACGCAGAGGGTTGTGCGTGTATGGAATGAGCTGCCAGAGGAAGTGGTGGAGGCTGGTACAATTACTACATTTAAAAGGCACTTGAAGGCGTACATGGATATGATGGGTTTGGAGGGATACAGGTCAAATGCTGGCAAATGGGACTAGAACTATCTAGGATATCTGGTTGGCACGGATGAGTTGGACCAAAGGGTCTGTTTTGATGCTGTGCAACTCTATATCGTCTTCCTCTGAAAACTGACCCGTTAACACTTTGAATTTTCTAAAGACACAGACATGAAGTCGTGTGTATCCAGTCACAACATGGTGCTGTCAGAGGTCAGGTCCTTCAAACAACCATGATGCTCTCTTAATGTTAGTACATTCCATCAGTCAGTGGTCTACAGGATCCTGCCTCCTCTATATCCCTGCCAGCTCAAAAATTCCACTCCGACTGCTATCTTAACGTCTGCTTTGTATAATGGCACCAGATTGGGAGCTCACTTGGGTAACTAACTCTTGTATATTCAGGCTGAAGCTGGTGGATTGCTTTCAGTCCTATGATGGCAACACAGCCGGAGTCACTCACAGTGTGACAGCACAGGGCCACAGAGAAGGTGCTCTCTACTATAGAGGTGGGGAATAAGAGCACATGGCTACCGCTGCTCTTTTTCACAAGAGAGGATTCTCTGTGCGTATGCAGGACATGTTAAAGAATGAGACTGATCCCAACAGGACATAGAGATCTAAGGCTGTTGAGGTTGGTTTGTGAGATGGTACCAATCTGACAAGTGAAACAGCATCCATTTCAAATCACGTACCTGTTGGCTGACTGGAGAAAACCTGTTGAGGATCTGTTCCTGAAATGCCAGTGAAAGCCATGTTAGAAATACGTTCCATAAGGGCTTGGGCTAAAGGTAGGCACTGCGCTCTGAAGAAGTGATCATGTTTAGTGCCTACATCTTCAGCCATCAATCAGCTGTGGTCAGGTACATACTATGAGTGTTTCAATCAATGTCACTATCCAATGTTCTTCCACCAACCCAACCTTTTGACCAATAACTCCCGTCCTCGTTAGTCCTGAGATGCTATGTCATCTAATTTTGTTGGATAACATTGTTGGTTCACTACCCTGGGATACAGAGCTTCTTTTAATGTAGCTGAATAAATGGAACTCATACATTTAAAACAGAGATGAAGAAAAAGAACGTTGAAAGTACACTTAGCTATCACCCTGCCACAATTGGTGGGTACTAGTTGTCCTAATTGAATGCTGAATGAGATTGTTGCCATGGGAGCAGGAGTAAGCTATTTAGTGACTTGAGTTTACCTTTAAGATTGTATTTGGTCGTGGCTGACCCGTAACTCGATTCCATTTTACTGAATTTAGCTTCCTGTTCCTTAATGCCTTCATCTAACAATATCACAGTTTTGAGGTTTCCAATTGTCTGGAAAACTACACATGTTTGCAGGAAGAATTCCAGACAGGTCATGTTCAAAATTGTGGTCAGGTACAAGATAGAACAGAGCTGTCCATGTGGCCCAGGACCAGGGGACTACATTGTGACAATAGCCATTATAAAACTGAACAGAAAACATCCCTCTTGAGATTCATAATAGCTCATGAGAGAAATCATGCCAACAGGACGCGAGCCATTGGCAAGACAATTACCAAGTGGAGCTGCGTAAAATGCACTCACCTTATTGACTCTACCAAACTAGATGTATCGCTGAATCTGAAAGGTAACACACAACCTCTGAAACAAAAAATCAAACTAAGAAAGAATTTTTATAAACCCGACTCACAAGCTGGGTAGAAAATTGGGCCAAAGGAAAGATGCAGAGGATAGAGAATGGGAGCAAAGGATTAAGTCCTGAGATGATAAGAGAAAGATATTTTGCTTGTTGTGTCCTCAACCTCTTCTGCCTCCAACCCACCCAACAAACTGTTGAAGCTGATGGTTTGCAGCTAAGTCTGTTCACTCACCTGCTCAGAGATTGCAGCGTACCAGTCCGGAGTGTCTCATTCCATACTGGGTCAGTCTGAACCAGTCGATTCTGTACCATCCTGTTCTGTACTGTGCCAGTTTGTACCGAGTTAGCCAGGGTTAAGCCTGTGGAATACCTGGTGCTGAGGGTGGAGAAATGAGTATTTGAAAGACGAGCACAAAAACAGAAGTTGCTGGAAAAGCTCAGCAGGTCTGGCAGCATCTGTGAAGACAAAATCAGAGTTAATGTTTCGGGTCCGGTGACCCTTCCTCAGAACTGATGGTGGCTGGGGAAAATGTCGGTTTATATGCAGAAAATAGGGAGGTGTGGTGGGGTAAATGATAGAGCCCAAAGAGAGGGAAGAGCAGTTGGTTAGACAAAGGAGTTGATAACAACCAGGCTGGGAGGGAGAATAGCTGTTAATGATGGCTATTAGTGACCAACAACAAGGGGCGTGTAATGGCAGGCTATGTGGTAACAAGGTCTGGTGTGTGGGGTAGGGGGCTGGGACATGGGAGAGTTTAGGCCCTAAAATTATTGAACTCGATTTTGAGTCTGGAGGGCTGCAGGGTCCCCAAGGGGAAACTGAGGCGTTGTTCTTCCAGCTTGCTTTGAGCTTCACTGGAACGCTGCAGCAAGCCAGAGAGAGGGATGTTGGCCACAGAACAGGGTGATGTGTTAAAGTGGCAGGCAATGGGTAGATCAGGATCTTTTTTGCGAGCAGAATGTAGATGTTCTGTGAAGCGGTCACCCAGTGTATGCTTTGTTTCCCCAGTGTAGAGGAGACCACAATGTGAGCAGCGAACGCAGTAGACTGCTTCACCTGCACTTTGAAAGTCCAGTGTAGCCTATAGCAGGTACCACCTATAGCCACGTCATAGAGGCTTCCTAAGCCAGTGTGAGGTGCTCAAGACATCAATTCAAATGGTAGCGTGGCGGTGGTGTCATGGTTAATATTTTTGTGCACTTCTGTATGATTTTACTTTTAAAGAAGTCAATGAAAGGACAGTGGAACAACTTTTTTGACAAGCCACTTCTTAAAAGTCACATATCTTAATGGTGGATTACTGCAGACCAGAGAAATGACTGTCTTGTTGCTGTTTCTGCTTTGGAGGTTGTCTGGATTATTCACTTGATGCCCATATGGGGAAGGTAAAGAGCTTCCCAGCCCAGCTCTCCTGATATCAGTGTGGTACCCCGATTCCTGAGGCAGTCTGAACCCTGACTGTTCTCTTGAAGAATTCTGGGTACTGTTTCCTGACCAAGCTGCCTTAGCTGTCTTTGTGTTCTTAACTATCTTAAATACCTTATTCTTTTATATTTGTCTGCAAGAACTAAGAGACAAATTTTTATTTTCCCAAGTTAATCTCTGCTGAGAGAAATACGTATTTTTTTACCTTCACCCTGTGTACGTATTTTTGAGTCATTTGGGAAGAGTAAACATTCATATTTTCATACTCGGAATTAAGTGTTAACCAGTTTTGTATCACCATTGAATAAGTTTCACCCATAATAAATTAATAAATTTATGTTTAGGTTGATGGGTCTTTTTATTTTATGTCTAATATAGATGAAGCACTCAATTGGCCATATAAGATTAATTTTATTCATTTTCCATGTTGTGACCTTTGGTGTGAGACTAGGTGTAGGAAGGCAGTAACTCTTCCAACTTGGTCATTATCAATCAATGAAACTGTTTCTTTTTGCTGGGCCTGTTGTGCTTTTGGCTACTTCATTCCAAACAGACAACCCCTTCTAGCACAGTGTGGAGCTGGAGGAACACAGCAGGCGAGGCAGCATCAAAGGAGCAGGAAAGTTGATGTTTCGGGTCTCAGAAGAAGAAGGGTCCTGACTCAAAACATCAGCTTTCCTGCTCCTCTGATGCTGCCTGGCCTGCTGTGTTCATCCAGCTCCGCACTGTGTTATCTCTGACTCCAGCATCGGCAGTTCTTACCATCTCTGAGTGAGTTATAACCCTTTCTACACACTGCTCAATTCCTTATGGCATTTTTCAAAAAGCTTGTCTTTTTCCAGGACGCTGAGGGTGTGCCTGGATTTGGAGTTGGGGATAGGTGATATGAAAGGCTCAGCAAAGATTATTGCTGCAAAGAATTATTTTCCCATAAAGGGCATCTTTTATTGCCTGCGAGCCAGTGCTGTCCCCTTCTCAGCCTTCATTAATTTCCCTCCCCAACTAGTGGCCATGTCCTCATGTGGTTTAAGGAGGCGGCACAGTGGCTAGCACTGCTACCTCAGAGCACCAGGGACCCAGGTTCGATTCCACTCTCGGGTGCCTGTCTGTGTGGAGTCTGCACATCATTTCTGTGTCTGCGTCGGTTTCCTGCCACAGTCCAAAGATGTGCAGGTTAGGTGGACTGACCATGCTAAATTGTCCAGGGATGGGCTGGTTAGGTGGATTAGCCATGGGAAATGCAGGGTTACAGGATGGTGGGATGTTCTTCAGAAGGTCAGTGAGGACTTGATCAGCCAATGGCTTGCTTCTACACTGTAAGGATTCTATGGTTTAAGCTTTGGTATTCCAACCTAATCTGCTCCTCATTGCTCTAACCAAATGTTTAGTCTCATGTATTTCTGTCTACTTCTTTAGCTTGGTGTAAATTATTCCATCCAACTACTTCCCAGTGAAGTGTTTTGGGATACTTTACCAGTTTAAAGCTGCCGTGTAAATGCAATTCTCATTATAAAGAATGGAATGGCAGTCATTAGACTAGGAGGAAAATATAGAGCCCTTCTGGCTAAGGAGGACTTGCTGCTTCTGACTGGATCTCATCAAAATGAAAAGGAGTTGAGAGCTAGGCGATTTAGAGAAGATTATATTAGTGTTTCTGGCCCTTCTGGCACAGTCCCTACCAGAAAACCCAGGTTCAAGTCACACTTTCCCAATACGTGTTACATGTCTGAATAGCTTGATTAAAAATATCTAAAACATAGTTAAGTTAATGCTTGGAGATTTCAGCTCATTAATTGCATGGTTAGTTGAGCCAGAGGACATCATGCGTCAGACCTGTCACTCAATAGATTGGCAATACTCAGATCCTTAGAGTATACAGAAAAAAGATTGACCATATTTACAATTCTTAAACACTTAGGCACTTACCTGTTCCCTAGTGGCCAATTGCAAAATAGGTGGCAGCACAAGGCAACACAGAACAATTTACAAAAGAAAAACCAAAAGAACTGCGGATGCTGT